CATTTAGCTTGTCAAAATGGTCATTATAGGATGACACTGTATCTCTCTGAAGTGTATCCAGCTAATGTTTATAGTGTCAATAATAATGAGGAAGTGATTGCTTCATGGAGCTGCTGAGAGTGGTAATAAGGATCTAATTGAATTCCTAGTTGAATCACACAATCTTGATCCAGAGTCACAGGATAAAGATGGAGTGACATGTCTACACATAATAGCAAAGCAAGGAGATAAAGAGATATACCAGTATCTTGTACCTCGTGTTAGGAATAATCCAACTCCTAAGGATAACGCTGATCGCTCTCCACTTCATTACGCTGGCAGACATTATGAGATGTCAGTGTATCTCATTAAATCTTTTAATATTCATCCTGAAGACAAAGACAGTAATGGATTCAATGGCCTTCATGCTGCCTGTCAAGCTGGTAACATGCGACTGGTATTACATTACTTGAATAAGCTAAACTGCAATCGTTATTTAGAAACATGCGACTCTAGAGGTCTCTTGTATTTTGCGTGTTTGAGCGGTCACTTGGAAATGGTTCGTATTTTAATGGAAAAGTATCAATTGAAACCAGTTGAAGGAGATATTGATGCAGCCCAGTCAATGAAAGGAGGAGAGTCTATAGTCAAATTGATGCTGAGACACTTTTACTTTATAAAATTAGTAAGAGAAACGATTAAAGAGGCAGAAAGAAGACAAATATTGCCAATAGCTACTAAACCTCGTCGTCCATTTTATCTTCTTAAATCTTAAATTATAATACCGCATAAAACAGATTGCTTTTTTGTTATTGTCATTGTTGTACTTTATTCTTTTAGTTATTTTTTGTTTGTTCCGTTCATTTCTGTTACAATCGTTTTAATTCTTTTGTACGTATTACCAATTCGCCACATCACACTCATTCTCTGTTACATCTTCACTTCTACACAAACACATTCAATCATTTCCTTTCTTCATTACATTAACACTATGGCATCAAATCTCTCTCTCTCATTAACTTTGATACCTTCAAGAATAATGGAGAATTCTTGTTAGGTTTTTTTCATTTTCGCAGCAGGGCAATTTTTAAAATTTTTTGATGATGTTTTTTATTTACAGTAAAGTAATGCTCAGTATTTATTTTATTATTTCTATTGGTAGCTGTTATACAATATGCATCATTATGATGATTTCCTCTGGTTTATTATTCTTATTTTTGTTATTATAAATCATCCATTGTTGCATTGTATATTATGTATGAGCATTAATAGTTTGCGTACTTGTTTCTGCTCCACTTTTTATTCAAATGAGATTTCTTTTACATGCCATAGATTTTAAACATTAACTTTTATTGAATGTGTTAACATGTATTGATATTACTTATCGTTGTTAGTAACACTTTTATTAATTACTATCATAACTATTTTTGTCAATGTGTGTTATAATTATTCTGGTCTGGGATGCTACTATTCCTGATTCTCTGGCTCCTTCATATTGTAATGTTGTGACTTCTGGTCCTAAAGCTGTTGGAGCACTTGCAGAGTCAAAAAAAATTGCCAAGTACTCATCTCTTTCACCTAATGTTTGTTTTGTTCCAGTAGCTATTGAGTCACTTGGTTCTTTTGGTCCTAGAACTGTTTCTTTTTTAAAAGACCTCAGTCGCAGAATCTCTAATTATTCTGGAGACCTTAAAACTACTGAGCTCTTGTTTCAACGGTTGTCTGTCTCAATTCAAAGGGGTAATGCATGGATGGTGCAATCGTGTATTCCTGTTTCTGATTCATGTTTCCTTTAATTATTTTTATTTTATTTTTATTTTATTTTATTTTATTTATTTATTTATTACTATTTGTGTTTCAATTGTTATGATAGTTGTTGTTTATTGTATTCATTATTTTTTTGTTGTTTGTTAATTGTTATTGTGATCATTGTAATAATTTATTTTTGCTTTTTTGTTTTCTTCTTTTTATTTCTCCATTTTTTGGTTGTCTCCCTTTTTGATCTCTAGTTTTTTGTCTCTTAGGCTACTTATTTCTATTGTAATTCATATTATCAATATTATTATTATTAAATTAACTCAGGACTAGTATTATTATTATCTGTAGTATTGATTATTTTAAATTTATAATAATTATTATAATAATCATTATTATTAATTACTATTGCTGTTGTTTGTTAATGTTTTTATTTAGTAAGGTAATGAATTGAACCAAAATATAAGCTAATACTTTAAAAGTTATTGAAATTAATTATTTATTATACAAATAATTATATGTTTATATTTTTAATGATACTTGTACTATGCTGTTATTAAGAAATAATTCTTAGAAAATAAGGTCATGTTTACATGACTTAATCATTTTCTTTATTCCTGTTTCAGGTGTTTACACTAATCCAGCAGTTTGGATTTGATATCAGTGCAAACCCAACCAAAAATATTTTCATTTTTGTTAAAAGTGTAGTCGTGTAAATGTGGTCTAAGAATCAGCTCAAGCTTTCTACCCAATGTACATGTATATTGAATCAGAAAATGTAATAAAATTGTTTCCTAGCCATTTTTGACAAAATACCATGGTGTGTATGCGCATAGCTGTTCAAATCAAAGTCACTGTCAGAATAACATTGACGATGGGGATCCTGAATGAGAGAAATGAGTTGGGGAGGATACAAGTTGCTTATGAAATAGGTCAATCTGAGACTGAAGTTGATTGAAAAGAAGAGAGGGTGAAGATGCACATACATTATGATTTAAACTCGATGCATCAACAAGAAATAACTTTGATGAAAAAGAATTAAATCCTATTAGAGAGAACATAAAAAATTAAAAAAAACAAGATGA